CACAGGGTGGGCCACGGGGTGCTGTAGCAGCCTGACACACATTCTTGTTAGAAATAGGCAGATTTCTGTAAAACCGGCCTCCTTCTCCTCCTTCGCGGTAATTCCATGGCCCTGGCTCCCCCTGTGCCGGCGCTAACGCGCTCTCTCTCTGGCAGACGTCTTTTTCCAGTCCCAACAAAGACCTCCCAGTGCCGCTGGGCGAGCTCCTGAGCTGGGTCTCCGACATCAGCAGGTCGTGGATGGGCTCGAGGGAGGCGGCAGCTGCTCGGCCGTGCTCACCAGCACAGGTAACACCGCCCTCCCCGCTCTGTCCCGGTCCCACAGAAGGTGCGCGGCACTGACGGCCGGGCTCGGTGCCTTCATTTCATGGACTGTTCTCCCCGTCTCATCCCATCTTTTCTGTTCGCTTTGTTGTAGTGTGGCTGGATGTCCATACCACCTCCCCTCATCGCCGCCGTGGAGCCCGTCCCCCGCCCTGAGGCCGGTGGGACCGCGCCTGAGGACACAGGGACCTTCTCCCTCACCCTTTGCACTTGCCAGAGTCCCCGGCCAGAGACTGGGGCCACAGTGCCCGAGCAGCCAATGGCCCGAGAAACACCCACAGGGTCACCACAGGGCCCCCACTCGCCCCACACAGTCCCTCCTCCCCAGGGATGGCCTCGTGGTGTGGTGTCGGGCTCACTGCGGATCTCCAAAACATCTCCTCCTTCCCACCTGCTCTCATCTGCCTCCTGTAAATCCAGTCATGTTACCCTCAGCCTCTGGTGTCATTATTGCTCTCATTACCCCGTTTGGCTTTGCATGAGGTGCCTCTGCGCGCAGCTCCAGGACAGTCCTCGCTCCCGGGGCCCCCCGCACCCCGACCATCACTCACCGGGACAGGGGGGCTCCATCGATGACACAATCACATCTCTTTTTGGGGACAAAACACTAAACTTGTACATACCACGAAGTGTCTGTAAAAGAGCAGTGTGGACCCAGGGCTCCCCTGCAAGGGCAGTAAAGGAGAATCCTCTGAAACCAGCCGGCAGCTCTGCGTGATCTGTTCGCCCCCTGGCCTTGCCACCGTGGCCGTGGGCTCCCATTGCCTCCTGCAGCTTCAGGCCATGGGCTGCCACAGGTGGTGGTGAAGTGTGCTGGGGTGCCAGGGCCTGACCAATACCTGCTGCAGGTGCTGCACCTGAGCGCTGGGCCTGGGGGAACCCGTGGTGCTGCCAGGGACAGAGCAGGGCCACAGGGTTGTCCCCAGAGCTGCCCCGTGCTGGCGGCACAGCTGACACTGCTGGGAGTCATTGTGGGTGCAGCACCGGGCCAGTGGACCCCTGGTTTTGGGGAGTGGGTGCTGCTGCTGCTGTGGGGGCTTCTGAGCATCGCTTGTACGAGGACAGACTTGTCCCTTCATCAGTGGGGCTGGGCAGGGGCACTGTCCTCCATGGTCCTGTTCCCATGTGTGCTGCTGCCACTGCCGGCCCGGGGCCGTGCCGGCCGCTGCCATGGGCACTGCCCGGTGTGGGCTGAGCCGTGGGCACTGCCCGGTGTGGGCTGCACTGCCCAGTGTGGGCTGAGCCGTGGGCACTGCCCGATGTGGGCTGAGCCATGGGCACTGCCTGGTGTGGGCTGCACCGTGGGCACTGCCCAGCGTGGGCTGAGCCATGGGCTCTCCCTTTCTGGGCAGCGAGGGGCTGTTGTGGGTGGATGGCAGCAGTTGCTGAGGGGCTGAGGGGGGTTCAGGATGGGTTCAGGGGTTCAGGATGGGTTCGGGGTTCAGCCTGGCACCCACTGCTAGGGCAGCAGCATGCAGAAGGGAAGGCCTGGCAAACCTGGAGACATCAGTGCAGCCACTGGCACCGGAGGCTCAAGGGGTCTGTCCAGCGCAGTGAGACTGGAACCCCTGCACAGCCGGGACTCCCTGAGCAGAAAGGTCCCAGCAGTGCTGGGAGCCCCAGGCGCTGTGCCAAGAGCTGCCAGGACCTTGTGGGACCCCGGCAGTGTCCAGGGGCTGGTGGGGTCTCAAGCGTGCCGGGACCTGCCAAGCATGTCAGCAGCGCCGGGTGGGGCAGCCGGGCTGGCCGGGACAGATGGCGGTGCCTGGGTAGGACGTTAATTGCATTGTCCATCAGCAATTAACCGCAGCGTCCGTCTGTCCCCACCAGCAGCGAGATGTGGCCGTTAGGCGCAGCCGGGCCAGGGGGACCCAGGGGGGGTGGCAGGCTGCTGCAGCCATTGGGGGGCTCAGGAGAGGTCCCAGAGCAGCAAGATGCTCCGCCAGGGTGACACAAGATGCTCCCCCAGGTGACACAAGCTGCTTGGGGCCCCACCCCACCTCACTGGCCCCCCAGATATTTCCTTGTGTCCCCCAGATGTTCCCTGCTCCCCCGGATATTCCTTGCTTACCCTCCAGCTTCCTCACTCCTCCCCCAGCCCCAGTAACCTCTCCTAAAGCTCACGGGGCCACCAAGAGCCCTCTGACCCATGACCCAGTCCCTTGTCATGGGCTGGTAGCCCCTCGCACCCCCTCCCCAACACTGGTGGGGTCCAGCTCTGTTTCCTGGTGAGAAACGCCCCTGCTCCCAGGCCCAGCCACAGGACTCACATCCATGTGCCAGGGGGGACCCTATTCCCCACTCCCCTTCGGCCCCTGGGACCCTGCCTGCTGTGCCCGGGGCCCTGGCATCCCCCCGCGGTGTCTGGCAAAGGGGCGAAGGAGGGTGGGCAGGGGGATGCCCTGAGGTCCAGGCTGACTGCTCCTGGCGTGAGCCGGCCTCTTCCCCCAGTGTCCCTTGTCCACGGACACCCTTCATCATCTTGTGTTGCTCCACATCACCCTCCTGCCCCACTGATACCCCCTGTCCTTCAGCACCG